ACTCTACGTCCCATATGCCCAAATACTTTCTGTAGAGCAAACGGCAACCATTCTGTCGATTTAGGACATCAATTGGAACTAAACAAAACCTCTGGAATCCTAAACAGTTAATAATATTTACTACTGCTTCAGTTAACATAAGACAGTGCAGTCTGAAAATGTAATCCCCGAAGGAAAAATTCACCAACCTTCTTTCACTCATATAAATTTCGAAAAAAAACTGGTCATTATTTTCCCCCATACTGTTACTTTTTATCTTCTCTTACTAACCGAATATTAATACGGAAATAACCAGTACTGATTTCGAGATCGTTTTTCCTCACCCACTCATCATGATGACCAACATACTTTTAGTTGAATCGTTTTCACACTAGGCTGCCCACAGCCATTTGTTCGTTAGTTTTTCATGGTTCTTATTACTTAACTTCATTTTACTCAAAAATGAAGGCACAATTAATCAGGATATAGCTTTTATTGCTCAGAACTTTATTTATCCATCATGTTCTAACTAGCTAGTTTCTTGAAATATCTCTAAACAAGCTTCAAAAAGAGTTTAAATTTATTACTGATAACTGATCTACGATACACAGGTTCATATACTTAATGATGAACACTTATATTGTAAAGGTTAACATTCAACTCAGTAGCAGACAGAAGAAATTGGAGTGAGTTATGAGAGTTTGCCAAAAGAATTACTAAACGAGCATCTTGACCAATCAGATTATGACTTTCACTGCTAATTGAACACAAATAAGAAGTTACTAAATGTAGATTTATTCACGCAAAAGCAAAAATAATAATTTTAGTGATAATCGTGGCCTATAATGTTGTGAGTTGGTGTAAATCGCTATAAATTATACAGTACTAAAATCCTATCTCTGAGTAGTTTATACGTGTATATTACGAATTATAGAAGATTTTCGGCGCTGAAATCTATAATGATTTCACTGGTAAGTATTCATTCAGTACGTTTAATTTTTAATCTAAGACATCGGGCTATCAGGTCTGTCTGATGACTAATACAATAATCATCATCCTTAGTGGTTACTCTGTACAGTAGCTTAGTTATTTGCAATTAACAATTTCTTTTAAAACCGAAAAATAAAATTTCCAAATACAGACAACTGATCAAATGGTTATAGCATGTATGAACAAGTTCACTGGTCTATAAGAAATTTGGACAAAGCATGTGTATTTTAAAAGATACATAAAATCTGCAAAAGTCTCTGTCCATTTAATAACAATATGATTGTTGTTATAGTACCATACTTATTGACATTATAAAGTGCCAAAAATATAAGTTTAGATTAAAATTTTACAAGGGAGTTGAGTAATTCTCTTGGACACATTGAATGTTCACTAGATCGATGTCTGTCATCCACTAACAGAATGATTAGTTTAAATTTGGATTACATGTACATTCATGTACATAACTTTAAAGTAAACTTGCGACGTAAAACTCAAAAGAATGTTGAACAAACAGACAATGACTAAGACTTTTAGCTTTGGTCTCTACTTATTATTAACTTTAACCTGGTTAAATAGGTTAAACATCCAAACAGTTTGCATTCTAGAACGGAAAATTTAAATCTCACAGGAACTTGAAGCAGAAGCCAGTCAAGTATTCCACTAGTTGAATCACAAGTTCTGAATTTGAACTAAGCTATGGTGTCAACTTAATAGTCAAAGTTTCTGAATGGAGTTTATGACGAACAAGGCTTATATAACTATCAAGTGCAACAGATTAGTTTGATCGTCTCATTTAACTTTGAATTGGTGGAAACTAAACAGAAAGACTAACATAGTTGGCAGTTAGACAGTTTACCTGGAACATAATATGGTGATTTATGTGTGTAGGATGAAACTAACGGTAAAAAGCCCAGAACTCGCCAGGTAGATGAAGGCGGCCTTGATATAGGGTCGATATTTCACATACTACAGGCTCAGATAACCACTGATGTATCTGGATTAATTCAGCTGGATGGAGTATGCGAAATATCACAAACACTATCTATCCTCACCGCAAATACACGCTTCTGATATTAAGATCCCACTGGTCTAATGAATGAGTACTATTGACAAATGCGCAAGTGTTTGTCAGCTATTTTTACCAATATGAAAGTATTTCATATAATTTTCCTTCTGGTACTAATGGCGACAGCAATTAGGCCAAGTGATTTGAACATTTTGATTTTCAACTGAAAACACAAATACTTTGTGTCATTCGCACTTTCGATTAAAAAACTAGTAGACACAGTTTGATTTATTAATGATAGTTTTCTGTTCAAAAATGATGGTGAGCACAGTGAAGCTAAAATGCAATTGGCAGCATGACTTTTCAGTTAATCCGACTGATACCAGATTGATCTTTATGTTCAGTCTTATCATGGCTTACATCTATTTTGGAATCCCAGTCATCAACTAGATTCGAATTTTTTGCCTACTGAATGTGATCATCCTAACTATTCTATTTATCAGAAAGTTTGTGTTAGAATAAACTAATGAATGTTATGTGGGGGTGATTAGCAAAATCTAGAAAAGTAAATAAATCAGGTCAGTGAACTTAAAGTTATGGACACAGTAATTGTTAGGTATGCCGAATTCCTAAGAAAAACTAGCTTAAAATATGCATATATTATCATTGTAAAATTTGAACTTTATTTTTGCGTCCTTTCTCGCCATGCTATGTTACTTATTTTTAAAGCAGTTTAGGATACTAAACAGTTATTGGTCCATTCTACACTTTTAATATGCTATTTTGTTTTTCCATGGCAAAGGTCATCTAAGGAAATATAATCGACTGAGTTTTCAGCTATGAAATTATTCGGTTGAAGTAGATATACTTCCAATCCCATCGTCTTCTTCTGGTGTCAGCTGAATATCGAGTTCAGAAGTCATTGTTTTTTCGTTAATAATATCGCACCGGAACATTGTATCGTTATATATATATATATATATATATATATATATATATATATATATATATATATATATATATATATATATATATATACCGTGGATCATAACAGTAATCCCTTGAAAGTGACTAAAGACTGGGAAATTAAACGGATCTTTACTTCATTTGTATCAGTGGGCTTTTATCGCTTATCTACAAGTTTATCCACAAGTCCAAACTACATAAAGTAGTGGAATTGATCACTTTTGTAATTATCGGTATATTATTTTGTGAACTGTACTCTTCGAAATCATTTCGAGTTTAAAGTGAGTTTTTACAGGTTGAGAAGACAACCTCACGAAACCATTAGAAGCATGGTCCACTTCAAGAGAAAATTAAAAACAACTGGATCCTGTGAAAAAAGAGAAAGACAGACAATACAGGAAGTGTGGAGAAATTGTTTGATTTAGGCAGGTTTTTCGGAAGTAAGGCAGTAACTTCACTTCTTAAACTACTAAACCATTATCAATTCAGGCCTTCAAATTAGGAATATTTCAAAATAAATATCTAGGGCTCATAGGTGACTTGAATTACAGAAATAAATTCGAAGTACTCTTTATAGGTCACGAGCTGTACAACAAAACCAAGTCGGACATGAACAGATACCTGTTTCTCGATCTCAGTGGACCTGATTAAAAACGATCCACATCTGCGAGGGAGGGGCATGAGGTGCCAAACTCCGATAGAAAATGCAAATGGATGAAATCCAAAGCACCTGCTTCCCAGCTCTTCAGGGGTTGTACAATACTGGAGAAACCCGGACTAAATCCAGACAGCTGTCCAGTTTTCCTTACTTCTAAGTTAGCGATCAGTTAATACCAGTCCTTGATGGCTATATTTTATTATTTTAAAGAACTCTGCGTCATGTCCATTCAAATTTTTATGGGAAGCATCAGCTCATAGTTGCATTAAATTAATGTGACAGGCAAGATGCTTGGTAAAAATAGTGGTGATTTGCTTAGCGTTCTTGTCTGCAATCTCAATATACAGACTATCTGGCTAGTAATCTGGAAGTAAGTCATTCAGATACTTCAGGCCAGCTTTTTATCGGTTCCAGTCTTCATCTCACCTACAATCATGAAAACTCCATAAGGAAGGCTATCAAACTGAAGATGATTCTGGCACAGTCTTATATAGCTCTAAAATTGGAACTGCTACTATCGTGATGACACAGGTGTTGTTACAGGTGGTAACAAAGATTAGTCTTGAAAAAGTCATACTAGAAAGCAAAAAGTAGGGCGAAGTAGTAACAGTTCTATACTTTAGAGGAAGACAAATAACGTATGTTTGTGCACAGTAGTTGACAACCAAATGTTCCAACTTTAGGCCAAACCACAAATACCAAGAATCTCATGAATTCTCGACAGATATCTTGTCCTTTTTTGTACAGCTGTAGCTAGAAGTTACAGACGCCATAGTTTGGCTCAATGTGCAGCTTTTCCAACTCTTAACTTCCCTTTGATTTGGTCGTTTACATTAGAGTACGCTGTAGTTTGACACGTGTGATATATCCCTTGGTTAGGTCAATGGTTACAGACTCACAGTCAGACTAGGTTACTTATATTCTCTTCAGGTGAGCTAGTATCGGACACCAATAGTTCTTGCCTACATTGTTCCACAGAGTTTGATAAATCAGCTGTGAGGAACACTAAATAGCACAGTTTAGATTTAAAGAAGCAAATATTTATTGAGTTTATTTTAGGCGGGAGTAGTTCTTCTTCGATTACTTTTATCGACATATGTGATTTCCTATCTGATATTTTCTCAATCATCTGAGCATAGGTTTTTTTGTCTTCTATGACGTATTAAACTGTTTCGTAAAATTAACTTGGTTATAATCTAAACACTAGTGGTTAAAATAGCATTATTTTTAATGATAATCACTACTTGAGTGTTACTACTCAACGTTGATAGAATGCTATACTGTTTTTCTCAAATCGCCTCGGAGGACGACTAAAAACTTCATCAGAATAGAAAACCTAGCCACAACAATAACCATCATCACTAGTAGAACTACTAAGTTACCAAAATAAAAACAACTTACCAAAGGGTCCTAAACGATAATTGAATGTTACCACAACTACACCCTTAGAAGCCAGCGCCAAACCAGGATACATATGACTAGAACCATACACATAACTTCCACCATGTATATGTACAATTACAGGATATCGAGTGCTTGGATCCTCCCATGTACGCTGTCGGTTAATGCAGGAATTAAAAAAGAAGAATAACTGCAAGTAAAAGCTAAAAATAAACCAGTGAACGTCTTATTCCAAAATATCTATTCACATTGAAAGCGTGTGTATAACCTGAGTGAAAGCTTCATGGTATACACTACTCGTAGATGGGAGTGAACGGTAAATGCTCATGTTAACCACGGAAGTATTGTGATCATTTATGGTATCAACTGGACCGCCGTTTATAAGTACAGTATCGTTTAATCGCTTCGCTGCAGATTCAAATCATAAGCTTACAGAAATATTATTTGTTCAAGTTTGTAAGCAATTTACGCTCCACTGAGTTGAATCAACATATCTTACAAATGAAATAACTTCATAGACTTGTGTTAGAGTTATAAGGCACCTGAATTACTTAGGTCTTGTAACATTCTAGTTCCGTCTTATCCAAAGTGGTTCAGTTTACTCCATTCCTTTAAAATTACATAACTCGTCTGTAACCTTTCTGACAGCAGCACAATACAATGGAGCTTCAAATCTTAAAAGTTCAAATCTCCGTATAGACCCTACTGTTGTGTGACAGGTAAAAACGATGGCATAGTGGTTCAAGTTGTGTATTGAGTAGAAGTAAACGTGAAGAAAGATGGGAGGATTAAAATTACGTCACCATGCTTTGAACGGTAGTATATATGATATGAGGCTGTTTTAAGTACTTAAGTGAAGATAAGGCTTTAGTTTGCTTCTGCCATATCCTTTGAAATTGTAGATCACATGCTTTTACCATCATGTGAGACGTCTCCTGAAGATTTAAATTTCCTTAATTCGCTTAAAGTCCATGGATTTCTATCAAATCTCAGCGGAACTATCCTTGAGTTCATTTTAACTCACTTTCACTCCAGCTTACATAGAGCACCGATAAGTACAACGAACGTCTAACCCACATCAGCAGCATGTTCATAAAATAATACTATTGCCAAAATATCAGCACTACTGAATGATAATCGCGCATGCATCCAAGGTAATTAAGACTTCCAAAAGACTGCTGCAAAATTTCAAACATTATATAATTCAAGCCGCGTATACCTTTAGGTTTACAGAAGATATAGTCGCGCACACCTCAAAAGTGGTTTTTACTCTCATTCTAATGTTAAAGGAAAGCATAAAGTAGAAATAATGTGAACTGAACAAGTAAGAGTAAAGATAGATACTTCAGTATATTGTACACTAACTAACCCATCGAAGGTTTTTAAAAATATTCTTTTTCTGGCAAGCATATGCTTTTACTCAGGTACTTACTTCCCATTTATTCTTTATGCTGAGACAGTATTCATGAGGGACTGATATTAGTCGGAGAACCACTGAAAACTCAGGGCCAGTAGGTTTCGCGGTGAACGTGCTAACCATTCGGTCAGTGGGTTGGAGTTCAGTGGTTCATAGTTTCTAACGTCTGCCAGTTGGCGAGATAGCTCGACCATCACCCAAGATCTTCAAATAGCAACCGCTTCGCTTCTGACTGGCTGACTGTATAGGCCATGACTTACCATTAGAACTTCATCATACCCTCTAAAAGCATGCTAGTAATGAGCACTGTACACCAATTTATTTTGAGATGAGTGGGTATTTTAATTTTGAGGTAGTATTCATCATGGACTGACAGTGAACTCCAGCCCAGTGGCTGGACGATTAACACGTTCGCCGTGAAACCTAAAAGTCCTGAGTTGGATCCACTGCCGGGTCTTGGGTGTTTACTGATGAAGAGTGCCATACTAGGAAGAAATAGCCATCCAGTGCTCCCAGGTTTTCAGGGGTCCTCCAACTCATATCGGTCCTTCATGAATACTACCTCAAAATTGAAATCCCTATTCATCTCAAAATATATTATCTACATATTTTGAATGATGATTTTAAACGGGTGACATAAGTAAGAAGCTTAGGCAGTGATACTTATAAAATTATCGTAAGCCTTTCATTCTTGTATTATGATCGTCCCTGTTAATGAATACTTTTTGTATGACATCAGGTATGAATCGGTCATCAAACTAACTTAAAACCTTAGATGTCCCTTTTTTAGTAATTCTCTGAGAAGCATAATGAAATAGCTCAGCCAGTTTACACAATTTTAACAAATCATCTATCTAGTTAACCATGGTGATACTTAAGTTTAAATTAAGGTCGCAAACAAATCTTAGCATCCATGATTTTCTACTCCACATAAAAGTGACTAACAAAAAAATTGACGACAAACTGATAACACAAGTGACTCCAACAAAAGATGAACAGAACCAAGGAATTTTTCACTTTCAAATAATTTCACTCAAGAGTACTTACACCCTGAACAATGTGATGTCATGGAGTAGCAGATGCATAAGCGATAGTGTCCTAAGAGTGTTTGACATGTCTCAATTTTAAATTATCACTAGGGCTAGCTGTTTCTATACTTATCAGCGAAAGAAAGTATTTCATTCCACTGTGAAAGTTCAGAAAATCAAACTCATCTGACAAAACTTCTTTAATATACAGGCCCTAAAAGGGAATACAATGCAATAAAATACGATAAAAATGCTTTGTCAGTTTTCAAAAACAAATTCCGGTGGATTTCACGAAAGTTGAGGTTTTAAAACTCTAGCGGCCATAATATTTAAGGTAATTTAATTTTTTCTGGGAGGTAGATGGAATTGCTTTGACATGTAGTGAGCATGTTGAGCCACGACCTACCTCAACGTGCAGTGCTGGTAGAAGTTGAACAAGGTTGGAAGAGGGTCCATGGTGGTTAGACCAGGAAGTGACACTAGTCTGTGAAGTCTCTTACTGTTGGGCCGAGTCGTGTGGGAAGAGATAGATTACCTGGCTGGGGTCACTGAGAAGAAAGAAATCAGTCATTGAGGACTGTTGATGACACGATTGAAAATCGGTCACACTGTTGCAGACTTATCCACTCCTGAACATCTCCCAAAGTCCGAATATTCGCAGTCATCGTTATCGTTGGGTTGTTTATTTTCTTATGCTACTTCATCTGCTTTGATATCACTCTTTTTCTATCCTTTCATTCGTTTTGTACTACTGTGATGTGTGGCAACCTGAGCTGAAGCACCCATGTGAGAGGCTCTACGTAGATTTTGTTAGTCAGTCGGGCGAGAATATAAGTTTTAAATGTTTACTTACGTTATTCTTTGACCATTAAGAATGATTCTCTTATGCATAACATCAGATACCATTCATTTACGCATTTAGAACTCTCAACTAATTCAGGGCAAACACTAATCAAATACAAATTAAAATACTTACGTTTTCTTATATCTCTTTTTTTCCGAGGTGATGTAACTCAGGTTAAAGGATATGCCTGTCCATCAATTTGCCGGAATACTTAGAAGCAATTAGATGAATATTAGTAGATTTATCTAACATCAACTTTTTCCACAGTAATTTCGTTGTAAGGGACCCTAATATGAACATAGTTTGCCAACTAAGTAGGCCTTCACCTACATCTCTTCACTATAAATACTGTCTCGTGTTTTTGCCGTTTTCCCGACAACCACCTCAAGCATTATGCTCGAGAACGATACACTAATAGAAGAACATATATCTTCTTTAACCGTTCTACTTTAGTGGGCTTATCATTTCAAACAAAATGCCGCACTTGTTGATAAGGCTGCTATCACAGGTAGTCAGAAACTCTAGAGCAACCTGAGATCGATATCATTCAGATGAATTCGTTATGAACAAAGCGCAAGATTTTTTCTTGCTCCTAATCTTTGGTTGAGCGAATGCAGTTTTGGAGCGTATGATCGCCATATATTTAAGGTAAATTAACTGTATACGTAGTTAAGGTGCTTTTTAAACACAGAAGTAATAAAAAATACTTATTTTATATCAATATAAAGAAAAGGGTATACTCATTTTTAATAAATTGTTTTCTAAGTATTTCAGCGTTTTGTCTTCTATTTTGAAATTCGACCATAATATGCTATAGTTATATCTGACTGATAGAACATTGTTTACCTCCCAATAGTTCTGTTCGCAAACTAAGTAGTTACGGATATTAGAACATGTTGATATTGCACTATTAGATATGAGGTAAATTCTTTTATTACTTTAAGTCAATATTATATCTACCTGCGGAAAGCAGGTCAATAAATCTCTTGAACGGTTATCTAAAGAAGTTAAAATAGCCCTTAATCCACAAAAAATAAACAAATTTGATTCAGTACTGTCATCAGACTTGATATCTAACAACGCGCTGTCTTCAGGTGAAAAAAACACATCTTTTGCTCACTTTTCATACAGAATACAAATACACTCTTAAGGTGACTGACAGGCTTAAATTGCAATGTGTACTCAATATTATACTCTTTCGGAGCAGTTCAAAAAACTTAAAGTCTCATGAAATAGTGATGGCGAGCTAGCCAACAAAATGTAGTCAACTAAAACAGCTTATCAATACATTTGTTTGTTTTAAACAGCTCTATTACTATTATTCAAAAGAAGTTAGTTTTGTGAACAAATAATACTAACTTAAATTAACTTACATTTGGGTAGTAGATGTTAAGGTAGAGGCAGTCTTCATTTATATCCTTGAAACCTGGCATGAAACGCGTGAGCCAAATATGAGGCTGCATGCATGCTGATCTCAAGCGTTTAGCAAACCACGGGAACCGGGTATCTAGGTAGGCAGGAACTGGCATCTGTTGTGGAATATCATGCACAGTAACATGGACAAACCCGAAACCTCTGTCCTTCAACTGGAGGTGCTGCATATGGTATACCGAGGAAAACATTCACAAGTCGACCACTTATTGGTGGCCATTGTGACCATGTATAGTCGTAATTTATTGTGGTTGAAAAGCCAATATACCTCCCCATGCCGGCTCTGAATGAAGTAATTAAATATTGTGTACTGTGACAAACTTTGGAACATCGACTATCACATCGTTTGGCATCGGACCATACTGGTTAACCTCAGGAATATGAGTAAATCTCTGATTTGGTAAAGGGGTGAAGACAGGAAGTTTGAATGGATTAATGTGAGATTCGAAGTTCCACCAATTATGGCCGTTAGCCAGGATTGTCACCAGTAAAATAATTATCACTTCACAGATTTTGAGTGTCCCGATAGATATCATCGTTATCAGGTGATGATTTTCATAGTTCTCCAAATAAATGACCTTGTCGTGGTCTAATATGTCCAATATCCAACCTCAAAAGTGGGAGCAGAGGAAACCTGTACATTTTGAACCCTCGCTTCTAGGTCTCCAGGCCCATTTTTTGGATTCCTCACGGAATCGCTGTAGTCGTTCCGGTTCCCTCACTTACAACTTTTTATGTAACGATTGTATAGTTAGAAGTTTTTAAACATCGTGTTGGAGGTAAAGTGAACGATGGTACATTGAGTTCTACATCTGTCTTATTAGGACATATTCCTGCATTGAAATGGCAACATTTTTTTCCTAATTCCGAGAATTCCAAAAGGATATAGATAGTGGGTTGTTAACTGATGTGTACCCTAAATGTAGTGTATATCCCTGTGATCAGTAGATGGTGGAAAAACTCTTGAGTATATCTCATTGATACCATAAGACTCTCAATATGCATGTTACCTCCATTTGACGGAGCTGCAGTAAATTCTTCAGGAAACGAGTTCCACTGTTTGCATAACCTCACTCCAAACGAGTTAGCATGGATTTTGTACGCGCTCTCATGCTTTACTCCTAATAGGCGGCCCCTAAGTAAGAAAATGTTTGTGCTAGATTTTTTCGAACACCCAGCGTCTGACTTATGGGACTGTGCAGATTAAACGGTTTCTTAATTCTCACTCCTGGGTTTTGCGGAACGGTTCCTGATCTTGGGTCTTTCTCCACGTAGTGAATCCACTCAGTACCATGCCATATTTCTGGTAAACTCAGAAGGGGCATAGGCGCTCGTTAAAATTGTGGGAAGATGTGTGACTTATTCTGATGCTACAGTGCAGGTGGGTTCCTCAAATGTCCTGTCGCCAGACAGGTTTTTGGCCTGGTTGTAAAAGGGAGATAGGTAGAACAAAAAGATAATGGAAAAGAACATTGGCAAGGGAGTGTGGGGGAAGGAAAAGCCTCTTTTAATTCACTGAGGACGAGAAAAAGGGAAGCTGTATAGACAACCTTGTTACTCAGGCCGAAATCTCATAGATTCAGAGGGAAGGAAAGAAACAGGGAGGAGTATAGTAAAGATAACTTCAGCAGTGATATGGTAACGGGAGAGTTTCGACATCTATCAGAGACGTACAAAAGTGAGTCGACTTTATGCTGATCGTGATGTTGGAAAACTTTCGTCACGTGTTGGAATGATATGGAATCAGTTGGTTGTTCCGGCCTAGCACGTGTTCCAATCGGATGGGTGCAGGCCGTAGGTCACTATGCGGCAGTTCAGATTTTTCTTGAAGATTCCGACAGACGCAGCGTCGGCAACTTCGGTGGGTAATGCACCTGGTGGCTGAAGTCCAGAAGAAAGAATAAGCGTTGGCGCACAACTGCTTTTCTCCACCTATAGGCGTTTCGCTATTGGTCTCCATGAGAGCTGCATGTCTCCTGTCTTGAGGAAGAGAGACAGAATTAAAAGTTTCCCCTCCCGTGGAGGTTCATGACCTCTCAAAAATTAATGAGTAGGCTACAAAGCGAAAACCTCCAATAATTTGTCAATTTGTCCGCACTGGTAGATGAATGTTGTAGCATCCAGGGGGAATTTTGTGCGGGACTTTGAAAGCTTTTCTTGGCCCATAGCAGAGATTTTCTGTGGTGTGTGGAGCTCTTGTACATTGAGTACTACTAAAGGTTGTTCAGGCAGTTTGTACCTTTGGCTGGGTAACAGAATATTTCGTTGTGAATCCAAAGTAGTGTCAAGCTTTTCTGCAATCTCCACTGTGGAGGGTAATTTTCAGACTTCGCATGCCAGTTGTTGCTCGTTATTTCCTGTTGATGGCCAGTCGACAAACAACACTTCTGAAGCCAGAGGGCTGTCGACAGACATTAGCTCATTATCATGTAGCTTCCCTTGCTATTGTGATGGCAAAGACGAGTTCCCGCCCATGAAAGTTGTTGGTTTATTACCAGATCAAACACTGCCATGGAGTATTAGACGTTGCCGACAGTAGTTTAGGTATGAATTTTCCTACTGGCAGATGGTTAGCAGCTGAAAAATATTCCAGTTTCGTTGGATTTTCATCCAACCCTCGGCGACAGTCATCGCCAATCTTTTCATACCGCTGAACCCCTATGATGGAGTACAGGAAGTTTCCTTCGAACGGCCGACTTGAAGTGTCCGAATGAAGTGTGGCACTACACTGGGTCCGTAAGTTCTAGCAGCACAGTGCCAGTAGCTCAGTGACTTCTGAATTGGCCACTCACAAACATCTTCGTTATACCCTCTTTCTTCCGTTCCTTGTCTTCACTGCACAGAAGGAAACCGTTTACATTAGCTTCTGTGTCGCTGATATCCGATGATAACCCATTTTCTGTTGGTACTATACTTTTCGGTGCAAGAAGGGTGCAGAGAGTTAAAAATCTCACAATCTCATCTCTTCTTCTCTTCATGCTGCCATAGGGACACTCACAGTCGGTTCTCACAACTTGGTGTGGTTTAGTGGCGACTGATAGCAGTCTGGTACATGTGTGGGACTTGCTTTTTCCGCAGATAGTTTCCTCCGGTTTAATTGAGTCACGGTAGTCAGACTGGTCCACTTCGTGTCAGTCTAGAGGTCGGGGGGCTGAAAACAGAACTTTCGTTTGCTGGTGTCGTGTTGTTCAGGGTCAAGTTTCGCAGGGGCTGGTGATGCCCGTCAGCTTGCGCCAAGCTCCAAATACTTCTGTTGGGAGAGCCATCCATGTAGGTCAATCTGTTGTTGGTAGGTGCATGAGGCTACCGAAGCTTACGGATCACTTGAGCCGTTAGTCCATACGGTCTCCTCTTCGTGAAGCTAGCTGACTGCGGATATCCACACACACATTATCTCTCTGGACGAAGGGAATGGTAGCAAAGGTCTAATGGACACGAAGGGGTGTCAAGTGAACGAAAACACCAAGTAAAATAGGTACACTGATACACAACTGCGAAAAGTTTTGCGTCGGTATACAAAATAATAATACCAGTATTATAAACAATACTTGGCTATTTGAATGGTGTCTCTTCGGTGCTGTTCACCATAATTTAGCACACTCCAGTGTTAGTCCAGAAGGCAATACCTGTTAGCGCTGCAGAATAGGTGTTAGTAGGCTTGAATGTCGTGGAAGAAGAATTAGCTGTCCTGTAGAGCATTAAAAGCATTAGGAGAAATGTACATAATGTGTAAAATGTGATAAGGAAACAGTATTTTTGACTTAAGTGGTTTGTGAGTAGTCTCATGTAGTCTCTGTAATGACTAACGCCATCATGTAATTTCCGAGAATGTAAGTTGGAGATCTTACCTTTTAGTTATCCCCAATAGTATTTCCAACCTATGTTGGACCACACCTAGAGGTATTCTGTCTTTACCAGTACACAGGTCAAAAACAAAAAGAAGCAGTGGTCCACGGCATGTAGACGTGGTGGCCAGTTAAGCGAAAGCTTTTATTCCGTTAACAACCATCTTAACCACTTGAATGTTGAAGGTTAGAGCACCAAATGAAACTTCAAGGTTGTTTCGTCAAGGTAAATACCATGCTTTTTGGAAAAGCTTTTTTGTTTGCGTGGTCACTTCAGTGGGTCCATGATAACCAGTTTATTGTATCTGTTTGAAATAAAAAATTAGGAATGCCGCAAAATGTTGATACCATCCAAAATTTTTGTGTTTAGGCAATGCTGACGCTGGGATGCAGCAAAAACCTAATGGAGACAGACTGAAAGATTCAGGACATTGTTCTCATAGTTGCCGTAGATTATGTAGTGGCTTGATAACAGCTTACAAGATACTAGGTAATTCAATCCACCTGAGCAGTGGAATGGCCATTATGGCAATTTCCGGGGTAACGTTACCACTGGGTACCCAGTCTGAATCGCCCATCAAAGGTCGTGTGCATTCACAGTTATCCTCTCTGGAAGTTCGCGACCACTGGAAAGCATCGCTTGCTGAGATTGGTACTGCTCCGTCTCTCGACAGCTTCAAGTAGAGATTGGACAACTACGCAGCGACGCACGGCTTGCTCTCATCCAGCTTGGGTACAGACTAAGTAGATGCATCCAACTAATTCTATACAATCCAACGCGGCCAACCCTATACCGGATCTGTTGCATTGCCACTTTCATCGCAAACTCGACTCAACAGTGTTCTTCCCTGTTAGACATCTCTTTTATGTTGATGGAATAAATCAATGAGAACAGGCATTCTATAAAGGATCATATTTACCACTGAGAAAGATCATGTTATGCAGGTTGCATCGGGTTATAAGCACTCCGGTTGCAACTGCCTGGATGTTCACAGATGTAACTGTCATCTGCAGTTAACAGTTACTGTCACTGGCGAGATGTATATTCCAAAATAATGTTGCGAATTGACTTGAATTCTGGAGCATCTGAAGTGATTGTGGAAATGGGAGGGTGTTTAGTGGATAACAGTAGACATATCTTGGGTGAGCTAACTGAAGAAAATTGAGTAAAGTCTTTCAGTGTTCAACAAATAAATCGTTACTTGGAATATATTCTGTAGTTAAAGAGTAGAGTTACACATATATCACTGATAGTATTGTCACTGATTTTGGTTAAATGTTAGTAGGGCAAGGAAAAATCTGAAAGTGTTTGTCACTAGTTTCAGGAATCCACAGATGTTCCTTAATGTATGATGTACGTTCACTGTTGACGTTTTGTTAATATGTTACACTAAAGGTTCACTCGAACTCACAATCTTTGAAGGTTGTCTAAAAAGCATGATTAAACCTCATGTTCTCTATTTCATGCTTTTTCCTCGCGAAATTTTCAACTGATTTTAAGTAGCGTACTGTCGAAATCTTTGCATGGATACGAGGGGCCAGCTTAGCCTTTGGCAACTTATGCCACTTATGGTGTTGGCGTGATTCCCAATTACCTACTGAGTGTAATGTGTACTACACTGCAGTTCGCTCTTTTCTTCTGTATGACTGTGAAAAATGAGCATTAAGTTTAGAGGTTATAACTAGGCTCAGGCGTTCAACCATGATTACTTTCCTAGCATTAACCGTGT